GAGGTTACCAACCCCATGCAATGCCCAAGGAGTGGTAGGTCTGGCAGAGGCTCTCGGGATGAGAAATCCCAACCCTGCCAACTCTTACAGGCTCTGGGTAGAGGCTTGGGCCCAGCAATGTCTAACAGGCCAGCTGAAGTAGATTTCAGATCCTGCATCTCCTGACATTGACACCCAAATGTGCTTGCTGTAGCTGGTAATCACTTTCTATCAAGACTAAGGAAATGTCAGATGGCACTGGCAAGATGACACAGAAGTTAGTTGCTTGGTGGTTACCGCAGGGTAGAGGCAGGTGGGGCAAAGCCACTAAAGGAGTTGGGTGATTGGCCGAGTCTGTGGGGACCCCTGATGATGTGGTCATGATGGGAGACCTACTACTTAATGCTGTGTCTCGGTTCCACTTTCAAAGCCCCTCTGAAGCCTGCCAGCTCTCCATGCGCCCTGCTGCAGAGTGGGCCACACTTGTGTTTCCTTCCTGCCCCTGGAGTGGCCTCTAGTGGCTCTATCCCTGTTTCCCCACTACAATCCATTCTCAATGGATTCTGTGATTTGAAGCACATTACTTTTATGTTCAAATTTCCCTCCTAAATCTAAAGAGCTGCCAATAATGCTGGGATAACTAGCCCTATGTGCTCTTGTCTCCAGCTAGCAACCACCTTTATTTTACTCTTCTTTGCCTCTTGCTCGCTCCTGGCTCCTCGCTATCCTTCACACACCCAAGCATGCTCGTTTCTGGACCTTTTTTCTGGCTAGTGACCCTACAATGCTTGCTTCTGTCTTTTTCTAGTTCCTTCTTAAACTGTTATCTTATTCTTCAACCACTCCAGTTTAACTCCTCTCCCCACACTGTGTGCCAATGTCCGTAGCTCCACGCCACCTTCCTCATTTTGTGACCCATGGACTGTTTGTGACCAAGAGAGGGAAGCTCTTCACAATGGCTTCCCTCTGGTTTGTTCTCTGCTTTCCTTCCAGGACACAGATCAGTGTCCAGCATCTGAGAGGTTCCCAGGAATTGCACATTAATGATTTAGGTAATGTAGGCAGTAAAATAGAGTGTCACTCGTAGATGTATAACTAGCACCAATGATTTGGTAGGGGAGGATGTGAGAGTTCAAATTCTTCTCCGCTTCCCAGTCTGCTAATATTCCAAAGTTTCTATTTGTTGAAAATTAATTCCAAAACAAAAGTGTACACAGAGCTACCACAGCTTTCCCAAGTTTGCCCTGCTGTATATGACCCACTGCAGGCAACCACTGTGCATTCTCCACTGCGAAGCCTTGTGTCCATGCATTTCTGCCATGAAAAAATGTGCACAGGAGAAATGTAAAGGTGTAAACTGCAGGAGCAGAGATTTTCAGGATGCATCAGGAGGAGGAGAAGGGAAAGCTAAACTATTCCAAGTTATTCTGTGGTTAACACAATGTCTCAAACGTGGCAGGCTGTAAAAATTAATACCTTGAGGAAACGTGTTTTAACAATGCGCGAGACTGCTCTTGAAATTCCATGATCAGGAAACATGTTATATGAGCTTCTAGCTAAAGAAATAAAACACATCCTCCCAGGGCAGACTGAATTAAAATCACAATGCACCAGAAACCGATGAAAAGAAAAGGAAAGGAGTAATACCATCCACAGGGATCATGACCTTTATGTTCCATAACAAATCAGAGAGAGGCTTGAAAAGCAGGCTTCTGTTCTGTCCTTAGCATTCTGTTTCCCACAGAAGCTTTCATAATTAACCTTTTATGTGGCAGAATACTTTTGGTCTAACACTTTCATATTTATGGGCACACAACAGAGACAGATAAATCATTTTCAAATCTATATGTTTAGAATCTCAACTTCTTGCAGTGAGCAGCAGCAGCATGCATGGTTCTCCAGTGTGCAAAATCTAGAGCTGTGCTGAAATAACAAGACTATGTTTTTCTGTGTTTCTATAAAGTAGAAGAGATTTCAACAGGCAGCCTTTATTAATGACTGTACAAATCATTCTTTTTTGTTATTAGGAGACCACAAAATAAGATTGATTTTCTTTCTTTTTCTTTTTAAAACAGGCCTTCTAAATTAAAAGCATACTATTTCATAAAAAAAAAATTTTACAAAACAAAAATTTATGTAAAAATAATACATCAAGATGATTTTCAAGTTCCCATGTGGATTCATTTACTGACTAGGCACAAGGGTGAGTTGACTATTCTTAAGCAGTCCATGAACAGAAGGAGGCCTCCTGAAAAAGAGGGAAATTAAGTATATTAGTAAACATAAAGAAATGAATAATTATATGCTGTCTTGGGATGGCAGGATGTAGGCAAGTAGAAATTTAACAGAGCTAAGGATGGTTATGGACAATAATGCAAAACAGAATCATCAAAATTAAGGATACCAAATGTCTGTGTTGAGTAAGGACAGGTGAGTAACTACTTAGCATGATATTATGGTTTATATATAAAATGTTCCCCCAGTCTCATGTGTTGGAGGTGCAGCCTATGGGGAGAGGCAAGTCACTTGGGGGCGTGATCCGTCTCTACTTCCTGGTTACCACGCAGGGAGCAGCTTTCCTCCAACATAGCATTGTATCATGCAGTTTCTGCCTTAGGGCTAGCTTACCATGGACTGATCCTACTGAAACAGGAGCCAAAATAAAACTTTCCTCCTTTAAATCATGAGTGTCAGGTATTTCATCTCAGGGAAAGAAAAATGACTAAAACATGCAGTGATGACGAAAGGATCATCCATGATTTTTACGGGTTTGGTTTTAGAACAGCTATGCCTTCTGTTATGATTGGGGTCCAGAGGACCCCCCACAAAGCCTCATGTGGTCATAGGCTGTGTCCTAGAGTGTGTGAAGCTGGAATTGATCCATGATGCAGTGCTAGGCTCAAGGGCCCTGGAATTAAGGGTGTGAGTGCTGCCTGCCCTCCCTGAGTAGTCTGAATAAGATAAGAGGGGCAGGGAAACACTGCTAAAGCTCTCCCTTGTTGTCTTTGCTACTTTGTGCACACCACGTTGTTTCTGCTCTGCCATGACTGGTTACCATCCCAGCCTCAGAACCAGCCGATTACAGACTGAAACCACTGCCAACTGTAAGCCAAATAAACTCCTTCCGCTCAAACTTCAGACGTCTGGTATTCTGTCTCAGCAGTGAGAGAAAAGTGACTAACACACCTCTAATATGAACACATGAAAGGAGCTCTTCTGTGTCTACTTTGGCATACTTCTTGCATCCTTATCTTCTAGTAAGATGTAGAGCTCTCAGGTATTTTATTAACCCCGTGCCACATGCAGCAAGATTCCTATTTCAGAAACTGAGTGGCAATCAGAAGGAAAGGCACCAATCATGGTGGGGGGTCCGAGGGCTAGGTCTGCTTCTCACTGTTTGTTCACATCCTGCTTCTAGAGGCTTTCATCACAAAGTGTGGCCTGGAGCAACTTCACACATTGGTATTGGTTCCCTAGGACCTTGCTCCTCCCTGTCTCTCCTGGTGCACACATCTCCTGACACCTTGTATACTAGCAACTGAGTCCCCCAAGCACAGTCTGCCATTGCCTGGACAGCCACCCTGTGCCCGTTTCCTCTTCTCTGCTTGTCCAGGTACTACTGGACCTTCAGAGTCCTCCTCTTTCAGCAAAGGAGCCTGCTGCCTCTGCCCAACAGCAGAGGCTGTCGGGAACCATGTACATTTGAACAGCGGGTCACGCTGTAGCGTGTTCCTTCCTACCCAAGCAGGATACAGAAGGTTGTGAATGAGTCTTGTGCATTTTATCAACCTTAAAGCACTTAGTCACTAGCTATTAAAAAAAGGTTCATTAATTAAGATCAGCATATTCATGATGTTTAGCTTTTTAAGGTATTATATTAACTTTAGAGAATCAGTGTGCATCTCGTTCATTCTAGCACTGCTGAGGCTCCACGCAAGGGACCACATAAAGCTCAATGTATCTCCAGCACTCTTCCAAAATAAAAGCCCAGATAGAAGGAGAGAAGGTGCACGAGGGAAAAGCAATGAACTTGAACTTGAAGAGAAAAGGGATGAAACGGAAATCACATTTTGAAAGTCAATCTGTGAAGCAGGCAGGGAGGAGAAAAACATAAGCCCCTACAGGCTGAAGTGGGTATCTGACCAGAGGAATCTTGTGACGGCCCTGCGTGCTCATCGCTATGTGAGGCAATGAATGCACCACACACTTGGAGCTCAAATTTCCTTCAGAAATGCACATGAGGATACACTGTGACCTCCAGGGGAACGAGAGTAGTATCTGTGGAAAATGGAGTCAACCCTGTAAATCTACCATAGAAACTTAACCTGCAGATGTGTACAAATACGTGTACAAGAACAGAGATGTGAGGCTGTTCTTTCTAATACCACTTTTAAAAAGAGCGAAATACTGTAAACAAACTGCATTCTTCAGCAGTGGTTTAAATTATGCCTCATTCATATGTTCAGCCAAAATAAAGTCAAAGAAAAGGTAGCTTTATAATATAAAAAAACCTCTAAGATACATTTTAAAACAAAATATGCAAAAAGTGATACATTATCTATCTATCTATCTATCTATCTATCTATCTATCTATCTATCTATCCATCTGCTTTGCCTATGTACTGACCAACTCTGGAAAGACTGAAAAAACAAAAACTGAAAACAACTATATGAATGGCTACTTGTGGTTGTCCGGAAGTAGGGTGGGAATTAAGGCCAATGTTTCACTGTATAGTCTTCTGGGTTCTGTGCCAAGCACACATATTACTTATTTTTAAAAAGGTGTGTGACTTGGCTTTGTACCCTCACGTTCCCAGTGAGAAAGACAATGATCACAGAAATACAGTATCTCTTTTCTACTGAGAAACCAAAATTCATTGTGTAAAGTGCTTGCTCTGTTGTTTTAAGAACTGCAGGTCCATTTGCTAGGTCCTCCCCTCACTGAGCACCTTGTCAGTCCCTGCTCTGCTCTGTGCCAGGCACTACGCTAGGACTTGGAGGTGCAGGTCAAAAAGGCATTGCTCCTTCTTTAAAATCTTGCAGTCAGAAGAGAGGGAAACATATCCACAAGCAGAGCAGAAGTTGCCCTCCAGTGTAACCCCGCCTGCACACTTTATACCGGGACCTGCTCTTTACTCTGCTCCTTGTTCTGAGGGTCTACAGGATTCTAGGCACTGTGTGAGGTGGCAGATGCATGCATTCCATCTGCAGCCATGGCTGAATGTCACATGTATGTGAACACACACACATACACAGGATAGCAGTTATTAACCTGGTAAGTTTTCTTCTAATCGAAGATCAAGTCAATCCAGTGAGACCGAACAAATCCTAGTCTATTTCTCTGCACTGAGACACTAAGCCACTTTATTCCTTCCACTCCCACAGTCAGTTGCTGTTCACTGCCCACTCACTGGTCAAACGACAGAGTCCTGGTGAGGGGACAGGAAAGGAAACAGCCCACCACGGACACTGGTAGCCGAATTCAGAGTGCTATGAAGTACTGGAGCAGAGACTCAGTGTACTGGAGGACAAAGGGCCAAGGGAGATCTCCTGCATGAGGGGTATGCTTGAAGTTCCACTCTGCAGCCTGGAGGGACCAAGCAACCACACAGAGCAGAAGCCTGGCAGGCACAGTAAGGAATATGACTGCAGGCACACATAGGCGCAGCCGTCAAAGTGTACAAGGGGTCTACAATGCAGCAGGGTAGGCTGGAGGCACCGGGGAGGTGGGCAGTAAGGTCAGGCAGGGCCTATGCTCAGAGCACACGGGTTTCACACTGAAAGCTACTGGGTGGGTACTGCCAAATGACTCACTACAGGAGATCCGAGAAATAATTTCAGGAATGGGTGCTAAACAGCCAAAGAAACCACTAAAATTCTTAAAATAGGAATCTTAGACAGAGTTGAATACAACTGATAGGATTTTGTAGTAGATACGGGAGGGTAAAATTCAGATCAGAGATTGATCCACACCACAGCCTTTCGCACTTAAAGATGGAAATTGGATCAAGCAAAAAATAGATTACTTAAATATAATGAAGGGCTTTTCCCCTTCTATCCCTGTGAAACACCAAGCATGTACAGTATGTAGATCAGTGGTGGTGAACCCACGGCCCATGTGCCACAGTGGGCATGTAGAGCCCTCTCTGTTAAAATGTGAGCCAAGTGACCCCAGCAGCTGAGCTTTGAAGAACAGTTGGATTTTCTAAACCACAACCTCAATATTCAGGTTTAATTGCAGTGTTGGCACTTTGCAATAAGTGGGCTTTGGGTTGCAGCTGGTCTCTAAAAGGTTCAACACCACGGACATGGAGAGTAGAGAGTGGGTATTATTTGCATAAAAATAAGCTTTATTATTTATCACTTATATTCTATGAAATTCCTTATATTGTGATTTAACTTCTGACTTTTTAATTTTTTTAAACCATTCGTTTTCTGTAAACCATTTCTGTACACAGTGGCTGGTATCTCTGATTAATTCTGAATTAAAATGAGGGAGCTAGACTATAGGAACTGCAACACTGTTGACAGGATCATGTGGCTTCATTGGGAGAGATGACCCTGGCTAGACTGAGGTTACCAGGTGGAACCACACTGACCATTAAGATGACACTTGTCATCAGTGTGTGGCGGGGGAAACTTGAGGACGAAGTTCAGGCATTTCTTACGGCATTCACTGTCTGGGTTTATGATCACTGACCAGCACAAATGGAGGCGTGTGCAATGGTCTAAAAGGCTATTGTCTCTGCTTAGCTGAATAGAGAAGGGTAAGGTCAAAGGTGAAGAGAATATTATCTTTAAGAATGGTTGCATGTTTTTTCAACTTTTAGCAGGACATATTATACCCTCATTAGTCGTGGCTTACCTACCAACCAGTATCCTCTCTTCCTTTCTATAATTACTTGATATCCTTGAAGTTTCCTAGATGATTCTCTCTTTCAAGTTCTTACACGTGGCAATAAATAAGAGCAAACATGGCTACTTGCGTCAGGCATGCTGCTAATCCTCACAGTGGCACTGAGGTAGGTGTGCCATTGGTGTGCCCATGTTATGGGTAAGGAAACTGCAGTTTAGAGAGGTCCAAGCACTGACTCAAGGTTAAAAAGCTGATAAATGGCAGAGCTCGAATAAGAATGCTCCACAAGTACCTTCCCTACGTGGTTATCTTCTTTCCACTGGCTCAATACCTCTGCCACCCTGCCTAGGTTCTATATCCCTCTTCCATGAACCTACAAAGCAGACCCCGATTGATGTACCTATAACAGCCCTACTGATGCTTTCCTCTAACATTTTCCAGGGCAGACCGAGGCATCTTTGGTACACGAACTATGTCTTCAGTTGCTGTACTCCTACTGTCTCCAGCAGAGCAGATGCTCTGGAAATATATCTGAGTGAATACTGACTGATCTGACTTGAAATGTCTTGGAAGATTCAGAATCTAAATAAAACCGAAGAATCTTTCTCTAAGGAACCTGGGGCAGGGAGGAGGTAGAGACAGAGAGAGGGCAGCATCAATCACAATGTTTGGCTAATTCACAGCATGAGTTACTGCTGGGAATATAAGAATTCTCTTGTGAAGTCTTCAGTACAGTGGGAGCTGGTACAGCACAGAGAAATGACAGAGTAATGATATGACAAAGGTACAGGACTATGGATCAACGGAGATGGGTTCAAATCTTGGTTCCATCAGTGACAAGTTATGGGCTAAATAAATGACCTCACTTTATAAAGCTTGTTTCTTCCTCTGTAAAATGTAGATGACATCTTATAGTTGGAGAATTCCGTTACAAAATTTATAGAAAGTGATGACCACATGCTTGATTATTATAACAACTTGCATCCAATATGTTACATATCACCACTACTAAACTGAAGAAACAGAAACTACACTTGTTCTTCAGAGAGAGTTGGGGATCCTGGACTGGTCTAACTCACACAGACCTCACAGAAGACAGAGCATCAGGCCAACTCCTGAAGAATGGAGATGTTTCTGTGCAAGAGGAAACGGGTCTATCTGCCGATCTCTTCCATGAGCTCCCGAGTGAACTGAATGCAGGGTTCCACATCTTACAACGTCTGTACTCCATTCCCAGTGACTGTCACACAGAGCTCACAGTGAAGGAATGTTGTCCTGGGAGAAGACAAAAGGACCCCAAGGCAGGGAAACAAAGGCTTGGAGAGTAATGCAATGTGCTCTTAGAGATGAGAAAAGCCTGGCTCGGACAAGGAAGGCTCTGATGGTAGAAATGGGTAGACATCAGACTTGGTGGGGTATGGACAAGGGGAGAGAAGATCTCTTGACAGCCAAGTAGGAGAGCCCCTGTTTCGTATTGTCTCTGACCCTTCTGGCCACGATTCATCTTTACAATCTGCTAAAGCCTTGCTTCTTTAAAAAAAAAATGAAAAAAAACATAAAAGCATACAAAAATTCTTAAGAATTTGACCTGAAGACCATCTATGGTTGACCCTCTGCCTATCCATAATTTCTGATGTAAGACTCTACCTTCATGGAACAAGAGAGATGGCAGCAAGGAAAGGATGGGACCAGTCCTGATGGCCCCCAGATGGAGGAAGGGCTATGAGCCATAGAAGTGGGAAAAAGCAGAACTCCCATCCTCCCCAGAGCCTCCAGGGCAGAAGGCAGCCCTTCCTGGCTATAACAGTGTCAGATTTCTGACCCACATAACAGCCAGGTAATAAACTCTACTCAACAATAAAAAAAAAAAAAAAAAAAATAAACAAAAAAAAAAAAAAAAAAAAAAAAAAAAAAAAGAGCGAGAGAGCGAGAGGGAGAGGAAAAAGCCTACATTTATTTTATTATTTGTTAGGCCAATGCCAAAAAGCTAAAAAACAAAACTCTAAATAAAGTAGTAAAGTATCTCAGTACCACCACATGCTAAAGAAATGTGGCTCATGGCATATTCCCTTTCTGTGAAAGGAAAGAGGCTGGTGTACAAAAACAGTAACCAAAAAATGATGAACTTATTCATTTTGGTCTATGAGCAGGTTAAAGTGAACTGTTTTATTTCTAAAGGTAATTTAATTGTTTCAGTTATTTTGGCTATTAAGAAAAAAGGAGGTCATATATTTCTGATTTATATTAAATATGCAAATTCAATGCTGACAATTCAATTTCACATGAGACTGTTTCATTGTCAGGTTATAAGAGCCTCACATATTATCTTACTTAGCATATTACAGCAACTCCATGGGATAAGCATCATTTTCATGGGACTGAGGTATAAAGTGAGACCTGTCTCAAGTTACAGTTATGTGGCAGAACTGAAATGTGAACACTGAAAAAGTAAGATGCTCGAGAAGGTCAGGGCCTTGGCAGTGTACTTTAGCAAGAGTACCTGAAAAGTGAGACCTAATTAGTGATACTTTTCCTGGATATTTTTCTTTATAGATCTCTAGATTAAAAAAATAAATAAGTAATTTGATAAAACACCTTTTATAGTGTTTATCTTATAAAGTAATAATTTATTTTGCAAAATTTAAAAAGTCATACTTCCATAAAACCAAGACAACTATGCTCAAAAATTTCCTGCATCCCTGTGTGATTTTTTTGCACACGTGTACATATATAGAAAAGTAAGACTGGAATCAAATTCTACACCAAGTTTGGTGAACAGCTGTTTTTTGGACTTTGGCTAGACAGCTGTGTTCCGACTGAAGAAAAAGACATAAGGTATCTGTATTGTTGAGGCCTAAGCCAGCCTCTCTGCAGCTCAGGACCAAGGATGCTAGTCTGGTGGTTCACAAGCAAGAGCTGGGCCTCTGACCTGTGCTCCTCTGGGACCAAGGGCACCTACCTGGCTTCACTCCAAGGCACAACCAGATTCTCTGCCATCCCAGACATTTCCTGACAAAAGAAAAGATTTTTTTTTTTACTTAAAGAGAAGAAAATTCCTCAACAATAAAAAAATTAAACATTTTACACAATCTACAAAGAAAGCTTAAAGCAAATGATTAAAGAATAACTTTGTTAAGTATTTGTCATTTTTAATAACGCCCTCAATTACTAACCAAATACTGTGTTACAAATAACTAGTTATGAGGTTTTACATTTGTTTAATAGGGAATAATTGGCCCCAATTAAACTGACTAAACTAAGGCTTTTTAGATTACTAAAACAAATTAAACTTTTTAAAATGAGAATTTAGGTGATCTTAAAATCTTTCTAAAATGGAGAATGAAACTTGCTAAGTTGTAATCGCCCTGGTTTTATTAGTTATATTAAGATAAATTAAGTGAGATTAAAATCTTATTTGATTTATTTACCTTTGAAAATGAAGACCGTTTAAGGGTTACACATCCTCAGCCTTGGCGAGTGCGACCTCAATTAGTCAAGCCAGAATGTCTTTAAAAGCTTTGTGCTTATTGCTTCCAGCATGGAGCGAGGTGTTCATTAAGGTACCAAAAGTCTCATAAAAAATCCAAAGTTGCACTAGTGAAAAAACGCTCAACAAGATGAAAACTGATCACATCTTTTCCAGAAAACCCAGTAGTTATTTTAAAACCAGTTTTTAAACAAGATTTGGTTCTGGTAGTTTTAACGTGTCACTCACGCAGCTTGATACCACTTGGACTCTAAACAGCATTTAAATCTATGGTGAGTATATAGTGGTACATTTAATTTTATACCATTTTAAAAATAAGTTGTACAATATTTAGTGTGACCCTTTTATGACAAGCATTGTTAAAGGAATTCTTTCCCTGTTTACCACTATTTATGAAGGCCTTTTTAAATAAGAAAAACATGAAACTGTTAGCTCACACACACGAAATTTCTTTCAAAAGTTTATTTAGTATCAAGCAAGAGGAGACTTTGCTTAACACTACAGAACATTTCAAGACTTGAGTTACAAAAGAATACCACATTATTTGCACTTGTAATTGGCTTCCCTTTTTACGCATGTTGGCAAGAGAAAAAAAACTAGCATATGGCTGAAAGATAAAATAACTAAATTCTATGGAAACCTTTAAAATGAAAGTGAGGCTTATGTTAAAAGAATGGATTAACATATTTAGTAAACCTATTTTTTTTGTTTAACACTAGTTAATCAAAGTTATTTTTTTTTCCTTTTGATGACCTATTTTTTCATATACAGACTGGAAATAACAAAATTTTACATGTCTTTTTTTTTTCCTGACCAGGTTGATGTTTCGACAGAGTAGTTTTTAAGTACCATCCATTCAGATTTTAAACATTTTGATTTATTTAAAAAGGGATTGTTCATAGAAAAAATTACTTTGAACAGTATACAGGACGGTGGAGATTGGCTATTTCACAACATCAGACAGTACAATCAGTATCTGCCATATGGCTGGTCCCTGTAGACGCCCTTCGCTGTCCTCGCCGAAGGTGCCTTGTGTCTGGAGTTAGTCCACTCCTCTTGTCCTGAAATCAGGGAGATTAATCACAATTAGACCGCTGCCATGGGTCCTACCACACCATTTCTCAGAATCTGACTTCACCCTAAACCAAGGGTAGATGTCATATTGAAGATGCATATCCTTGATGTACTGATAAAAGAAACACAGGGAATTTACTTTTTAAAAAATTATGAACAGTGGCAAAATGACTATCTCACTATTAAAAGCATCAGGACAGTAAGAAAAATGATTTTTGAATCTGCAGTGGCAACCGACTTTGCAAGAACTCTCCGCTTCCTATTCACTCAACTAAAATTTACAAGCTTGTGGAGCAAACTGAACCGCCTTGAGAAACATGAAGACATTCTGTGTGGGAGTGAGACTGAAAAGGATCACTTGCATTTCTTCTACCAGTGAATACAAGAAAAATAACACAGTCAATCAGTGGAAACAAAAGGAGGGAACACGGGAGAGCAAACTGGGAAGGGGCAGATTGGCAAAGCACAGGGCAGATTGAGAAAGAGAAAGGTTGCCGTCTGCTTCCTAAGTCCTTTCATAGGAAGACTACAATATCGCTGGTTTGTGTGGGAAATTATGCCTCAATAGCATGCCACTGGATCTGAGCCAAGCTTAAAGACATGGAATCAAATTTCAATCATGGTAACACTAAATCCACACCGGATAACGGTCATCAGTATCAATGGGTATTCTATCATCTTTATCTCCTGAATTAGCACCTGTTCATCCTCAGAAGTTTCAGTGAGGCTACAGGTCTTCGACATCAAACAGTTAACTTCCCTGCTGCAACACACAGCAATTTAAAAGCCATGTGTCCACAGAGACCAATTTAAAAAGCTCTGAAGGAAAAATGCTTAAAATGACCTCTTCTTTTGATAGGAACATGCAATCAACGTCATTCCCTCAAGCTAAGTTGCATCAATTTAAGTAGACAGCATTCAGCAAGCCAATGTATTTCTCTCAAGTGTTTGTTACGAATAACAAAAAAACAAAAAATTCCAAGGTGCGGTCATCACAGCTTCAGGCAGGTGATACGACGAAAAGCACTTCAAAAGAAACACGGGAAAATGGTTCGGCAGTTATGTTCAGAGCAATGTCATAACATCCATTAACCACAAGCCTGATTCGCTCACACTGGGTACTAGGCACTCACTCTCCGAGAGCTGACTGAAGCTTCATGTTCTCCGATGTCTTTGCCCTGCAGCAAAGGTACCTCTCACTATCATTTCAGTGCTGCCGCCAGTTCTTATAATTAGAACCATCATCCTTCTGCATATGGAGACTTTGGACATGGACTCCTCAGCTTCTCTACCAGCTCCCCTGAATTAGGAGGAGTTCTGCTGTTTTCTAGGTCCGACAGACCCCTGTACACCTCCCCACCTCAGTGCTCTGGTAACCTTAATGACATGACTCCCTGTATAATTTCTTCAGAGGACTTGAGACTAGGACTGGATTCAAATATAAAAACAGGGGTGGGAGAAGCACTTTGGAGCTGTGGTCTCAATTGCTTCATTTCTCTTTTATTGCCAAGAAGCAAAGATGGTTCAAAAAGACCCGTGGAATCAAGTGTCTGCAATTTGGCAACTATTTTATTAAGTGAAAAAGGTCACAACATAGAAATTAACCCAAACAGAAAAATCGAAGTTCAGAATCTGAATTCATGCAATTTTCTGCAAGTATTTAGTGTTCTTTAAATATTAAATTTCAATACTGAAAGATCCCTTGAAAAGAGCTACACACAGAGAGAAAAACAGAGAGGACCCTGCTGTTTGACAGTCAAAATGAACACAGCTTCCCTTCCACCAAGGCAAGGCAGGACCTTCCACATCCCCTGCACTCACTGCATGGTCAGTCTGGCCACTCACTCACCGTAGGAATCGTAGGTCTCCTCGCTGAGCCCGTGCCCATAATCATAGTAATCGGTGCCACTGCAGGGACAAAAGAAAGCACAGTTAAGCACAGAATGATTGTGCTGTGAGTTTAAATCATAGCTAATACAGTTTTCTAAAAACTGAATAAACCAAAAACTAATAAAGAGCGGGGCTAGAAAAGTAAAATAAATTTCCACTGGGATGACAAGGCTCCCACATTAGAAGGCCAGAGTTTAGGACTATCAAAGGCCCCTCTTTTATTTCTCCAATTTTAGTACCTCTTAAGTATATCTGACACCTTCTCCACAATGACTGCTGCCTTCTGACAATACAGGGTGCTGCCTTCTGTGCCCACTGTCCCGGGGGGAAAACAAAGACAGCATTGTTCTGGAAGAGTGTGCACGGAAATGGCTGTGTGGACAGACCCGGTGTCAGTGCCAGAACTACGGCTGGGCCGGTGCCAGGTGCTACGGAGTGCAGCAGCCAGCAAACACCATTTCTTCTTTCCAACAGACAGAAAGTTTTCTTCTTTGTCCCTTCTATATCCACCAAAGAGCTTGGAGCCGTGTGAACAGTGGGAGCTTCACGTTAAAAAGCATTACAACGGGCTCTAATTAAATGACTTACTTCATCAGCACTACTGCATTATGGAGAGAGCAGTGAGTGACATGGGCCTGAGTGGAAGTGACTATGTGGAGAAGGCCACCCCTGCAGCGTGGACACAAGTCTGAGGGCTACAAGGATCTTTCCCAAGTATAAGCCAATCTTTGTTCTAATCAACAATGTCCTTAATATAGCACAAGGGAGAGAGAGCCGGTTGTCACTACAGTTCTGCAAATTGTGAAAAATCATATTTGAAATGTGCCTATCTTTGCAGGAATCGATTTATGAGAAGCTAGATGACCAGACCATTAGCATTCGGAGAGTCTGAAGAAGAGCCTCCTCCACTCAACCTCTCAGGCTTTGTGTGTATGTGTCTGTATGTGTGTCCTGCTCGATTTCATTTTGTAGGAAAGCAATTATCCTCATTGTTCTAACTTCAGACAATCAAATGAGAAGCTTCCTGTCACAATGGGAAGCTGACTCACACATCTGTGAGGTCTCCTCCTGGCCTGCTGAGACCACCTCTAGGCTGTGGGGGGACCCACCACCCTGCAGATGATACCACTGTACACCACAATGGCTGAGGATGGGACAGCTGATTCCACCTGACCTGCAGGAGTGCCCCCATGCCCTCTGACTCCCTGCTGCCACTCTCAGGTAACGATACCAGAGCCTAGTCACCAAGTCCACCCCTTATGGCACAGTACAAGCTGTTCTATGAGAAAAACATCATCAACAAAGCTATGTGCCTTTTTGCCTGAAGCATGGGGGAGGAGTCTTCACATTTGCTGTTTCTTCTGCCAAAAACTACTTCCTATTCAGACCTTATCCTAAGCGCCACTTCCCAGAGGAGCTTCCCAATCTGGCTGGGCCAGCTTCCCTCGCATCACATCTTCAGCTCCTGTTCCTCTAGGTCCTGGCCTGGCACACCCAGACCCAGCATGAATGTGGGGGACTGGTGTGTGGAGGAGGGGCGTCCAGACACCTCTAGTGAGAAGCCAGTGCTACTTAGAGAGCGCAGTGTGGGAGCAGTGTGCTGAAGACCAGAGGAGGGAGTGAAGACAGGTGAGGAGGAGGCAGGGACAGAGGACAGGCAGCATGCAGAGCGCAGAGCAGGAAATGGTGGGGAAATCCAAGTGCCTACTATTATTTTATCAAACAGAGCCAATGCGTACTATTAAGTTGGGGCCACAGCATTCCTCAGTATCAAACGCTTCCTCCATGTGCAGAGTACAGGGTACACATTGTTATCGTGGCTTAAACATATCCCTTCACACTAATTGAAGTATAATAACACACAGGTTATAATGTGAGCTCTCTACACTGCAGGAGCTCTGGAATGTGCCACACTGGACTCCTCGGCTCTTCCGAATGCTGCTGAGGCCCTCAGCAGTCACTACTGCAGTTGCTCCCTATACTAAACAGCAGCATGCAGCTTTACCAGAGGCACATGTAGCTACAGAGCTTTAAAAAGTGGTCTGAGAGTGCAAGCCTCGCATTCCTAGAGTACGTGGGAAAGAGGAAGGGAATGAGGGAGGAACGGGACTGTTAGGAGCAGATACCACCATGCTGACAGCTTCTCGCAGGCACAGCCTCACTTCATCTAGAATTATCTGTTTTTATGGGCAAAGTGTGAGGCGTAGAGAGACTGAGCCACGCAAGGTGTAGGTGCAGCCTTTACAATCACAGCTCAGAAGACCACAACCACCATGTGCTAGGAGGTTTCTGCTCAGCAGGGCGGCACCTCAGAAGGTTCCCTCTGACCTGCACCCTGAACTTCGTGATGCCCAGGACAGGAGTCTGGGCCCAGGATGTTTGCTGCCCCATGAGCACATTGACCCAAGACCCCACCTCAGCACTGTCTGGCCCCTAGCCCTCCCCTCTCATTTCTCTCAAGGCATAATATTTACAGAGAGGAAAGAGAAGAAGAACAAGCTGAGAAAAGAGCAGTTACATTTCCACATTCAAAAAGATAATAAATCTAATATAAACAACAAAAGAATAAATATGGCTTTCCTAAATCTTAAGATATTGTAGCTTAAATATTAGAATGCTTTTTAAGTAGAGCATTTTTTCTTATTTTGAAAACAAAAAATGCTGTCAGCCAAATATTTTCATACATCGTCAGTGTTAAACACCAATGAAGACATCTGTGCCTGAGCTTGGCCTTCACCTGCTGAGATCCTCCGGGGCCGTATAAGCCCGTCAATCCAACTGGGCTATACAGACGCGGCACTCAACCCTGTCGTCCCTCTCCATGGCTCTCCACAATCCAGCCCCAAAGCAATCTGAACAATTTCTCATTCTGTTGGAAATAAACTAGCTAATGCTTTTTAGAAACTCAACAGTAAATTAAAGGAACCTTAGTCTTCTTTCCAAAGGTCAGAAGTTATATCATAATGGCTCCTGAGACAAAGAAACTTTGATGTTCTTCAGAATTTTATCTCTGTTTCACAGATAAAATAAGAGTAACCTCTTCATAAAACTAAAAAGAACTTCCTTGACCGAGACAGTTCCCAACTGTCTAACTTGGAACCATAAATGACAGCTATCGAGACTAATAAACAGAAGGCTCGAACGATTGTTTTCTGAGGAAACCAAGCTTCTTTTATTACATGAAGTGAGCAGTAACGAACATCTGTACACACTGCGAATTTGTTCCTGAGACCTGCTAACCCAGTTGAGCATAAAAAGTGGTGAGGGAGGTTGAAGAATGTTTTCCATTGGAAAAGAAGATAAAAGGTAGCATAATTTGGTCTAGAAATGGTCTGGTGATAAGGCAATCTTCGTTTTGACAAGTAAAAATTTTAAACTGACATTTGCTATCATTTCACCCAGTTCTGATTATTTATTGCAAAACTGTCATCAAGCCGAGTGCTGGGCGCAGCTGAGACCCTTCTCCTACCTGTCAGTTCCATCTGAATGGTTTTTGCAGCCTTCAATTCGTACACCTCAAATGTCTGTTAGCCAAAGACGTGTCCTATTTCCCAAGGATAACTAGAAACCCAAGACACTGCAAAGGGGAAAAATGACTAAAAAACTCATTTATGGTTATAACTTATAACATTAATAGCAGCCAAGAAACATGTGAGGCTGATTACTCAAGTTCATCAAATCGCCCAGGAGCAGACCCTCTCTCTCCAGGTGACAAGTGTGTTTCTCACATGTGTGCAGCCATGAGCCCAGACCTTTGGCCTCCTTCCACACAGCAGCCCATGATCTTGCTCAAAGTAAGCCTCAGTGCTCAGTACAGTGCCTGGCTTTCCCCAAGGGTTTCGATTCCACCCACTGAGTGAAGCAGCCCCCCTACCCCAGTATTTGAAGATGGTACACTCCCCCCGATTCTTCCTCTCCTGCAAGGAGTCAAACACAAATTAGGACTGGGACCAAGAGCTGTCTCCAGGCATCTTTGCCTGCCATCCACAGAAGCAGGAAAGATCATGAACAGAGCAAGGTTAGTGATAATGACCAATAGTGTCTTCTTCAGGTCAGCCCTGGCATGGGTTAAGAAGGAATGCCTGACATTTAGCCTTCTCACAACCTCTTCAATACTTTCCACTAATTTCTACTTTAGAGTCACTGGAACGAAACTCATTAAGACTCCTGCTTCTATTCATGTCAGTGCAAGAAACTCTGCACACCATTCCAACTCACAACTGCCAGGGTGCCTGGAGTTCTGCACAAACCTGGCTATCCTAATTTTCTACCCAAATCTGCACTCTTGTGCTGTGCCCCTGGGATTCATGGGCCATCAGGCCCAATCCCCTATGTATTCTCAGACTTTTCAAGACATTCTTGCTCAATGAAATCCTCATTCACTGCTAATGGCAACTCTTCCTCGGCACCCCCTCCAATTTTTATCTTTAAAAGCTGAGGGACTGCCTAGAGGAAAGGTGAGTATTTTCCTCCATGACTTCTGTGTCCTCTGAAACACATGTACCATCACCACTTCCCTATCTCCTCTGTCAAATACCTGGCCGCCATTCTCCCAGCAGCCTCACAGTTCTGAGTCCTGGAGGTTTCTGTGTGTGGGGAGATAATCCTTCCAAGAGCGGGCCTCTAAATTCCCTAGATTCCTCTCCTGTACTGTGTCCTTTATCAATTCACTCCCATGGCACCCCTCTCATCAGGTTCTACCTTCACATATCCCATTTTCTATGATTTTTTTTTCTTTTTCTTTTTAGTATTCTTTCAAATCCATTACTACCTTTAACATTTCATCATTGTCAAGGTAATTAATGAATTTTAAGTTGCTAATTTCAATGATTAATTCTCAGTTCTAAGGTTACATGACCAATTATCTTTTCTGTATATTCTTTCAGTACTGGGCTTCCAGACTAGTATACTTCTTGGCTGTTAATGTCCTGGGTTCCTTTCTACCACTGGCTTCGTCTCATCAGTCTACTTACCAGTTCCTCCTCTGCTCTCAGACCTCTTAAAGTTGGAGTATACCA